GGAGTGTTGCCCCGCTCGCGGTTGGTATGGTTAGCTGCTGACGAAAAACAAGCCAGAAACGGCCAACCCAGTCTGCCTCGACTTTGTCGGTAATGTCATTCTACAAACAATACTAGCCGCTGTGTGTGTGTGTGTGTGTGTCCGTGGCGCCCGGTATCTCCCAAAGGACGGTAAGACAGCGATACTGCAAAGGCGTTTGCAGAAGGTCGAGTACGATGTAGTCACTACTCGCGTTATCCGAGACGTGGTGGCCCCCGAACCGATGGAGATGTAACCCCGTTACTCCTGTCGCCACTAACTCTTTGAGGCGTTTCATGGACCTGTTGCCCTTGTACTTTGATCAAAAATAAAAAATACCCCCTACCGTGGTTGATTGTTAACCGAAAGACAGATATATTCACAGTAAGAAACTTTTTTCCAAACTAACGACTACGAGCTCTTCAAGTCTATTTCTAATTGACTTAGAGCCCTAGACGACTTAAATTCTTATGGCTTGCTCAGCCAAGTTCTTCGACAAAATAAACTGTTCCTGCAGAAGAACGTCTGGGATGAAAGTTAAATCCTCTCAAGAGTTAAGACCGTATCGTAACGTTTAGCAGTGCTGGAGGAAGGTTAACGCAACGACCGGAATACTTTAGCATCTAACGCTATACATTTTTCTCACTCAATGTGTGGTGAGAACCCGAAACCAACCAGGGTTATGGCTGCAGGTTCGATTCCAGACATCTGAGATCAGCTTATATAATTGGAGTCCTCCGAATAGGTGGGCGTCCGATTTAACACCCGCGTGTGTTGGGATTTGCTCTGCCTCGGCCGTCATGACTACTTTAATTTTTCAACGTCGCCACCGTGCCGTCCGAGAAGTCATATCTATTGCTAGTTGTCAGGGACCCGTCGTCAAAGGTCGGCTCACTAATCAGGAAACGCTGCCAACAAGGAAGTGAGACCAACGCAACCCCTACCAGGTCAGTTGCCGTCGTTAACCAGTCATAATCGAGCTCCAAGCCAGGAAGGGTTAGGACGCAGGTTCTGGTCTGTGATCATAAGGTCCGATGCTCTCAACGTAAGCCACGGCTTCATGTTCCGCCGATTGCTGGCTGCGAATGTCCCAGACCGGAGCTCAAAGAGAAAACGGAAATGTCCGCCTTGTAATTGGGATAGACCGGCGAGAGTGACTGCTCTGTTAGTGATTCGATTGCTTCGAGTGACGGGAAGGTTCGTTAGTCTCGGGTCTACTGTCCCAAGCCCGAGAGCATATGGCGATGGAAAGGCACTCTCATTAATAACCACAATCCCATGCCCGAATGTAACTGATGGCACCCCGAACTTTACCATGTTTCGCAGAAATATGTGGTGTTTGCGAACCCTAGCACCGGCACAAGTTCTTGGGAGTCTGCCAGAACGACTAACTACTTTCAGACTCATCTCGGTCCGTCATGGCGTTATTAAGTCCTCAGACTTGGATAAGGCCCATCAGCAGCCGTTCACGTGCGACCTGTCGAAGATGCCGGCAACTGAGGCAATCGTGCAATAATTGGAAACTGTACAGCGAATGTGCGGACCCTGTGTTAAACGCGTCCGATGAGATGAAACATTTGCGTGACCGGCTGAAACCACGGAGATCCAGGACTGTTATCTTACTGCCACCCGCGTGTGGGCAGGCTTACTAGTCGCGGGTTTGTCAGTTGAAATTCATCGGAGTTAGTAATTATCCCAAGCAAAAGTTACTTCTGACAGGCGGTGGACGAGAGCGTATGAAACAAATCAGATCAGGATATAGTTGCCCAGCAGGGTACGGCGACTCGAAGGCGCAGAGTATTGTTGCGGGCATTCCTGTGGCACAACTCAAGCTACAAGTCGGAGAATTGTTATTAATAGGGACTAGCCTACTAGCCAAGTGTTCCAACCAGTGAACTCTTGAGCCTTGATTACTGGACGAGCAAAAAAAGGAAGGGAGCGAGGTAAAAGCAGTCACCAGACACTTCTCAGCGACCTTGGCCCTATCTCGATTCGCACTAAGTATTGCTGCGGGGGCACGGAGTCCGCTGGGCTACTGTAAGAACGAAAGACAGTTCTGTTGGCTTGCCTTTCAGCTGTGTGTGTGTGTGTGTGTGTGCACTTGTGCCGAGTGCACAGCGTACCGCGGACTCCGCCGGATGGATGGTCGGATGAAACACTGCGCCGGCATCGTCGAGACGAGGCTCTGCCTGGTACGCCGTTGGATAACTGCTGCCGGGACGGGTCTCTGCATCGC